CACCCTGTAGGGAGCTCCAGGGCAAGGGGAGCAGCAGAAACATGTTCTGTGTAACTTTTTAAATTAATTTTCTAGTTAAAAGTGGTTTGTTTCTAGCTGTGATCTTGTACAAAGAACACCTGTAAGATACCGTTGTCTTGCTTTGGCACATGTACAGTTTATATGAAATCGTGTTTGCTTTATATTTTCCCCCCTCTTAAAACTCATTTTCCTACCAGTAGCTGGAGTTACACCGGGGGACTTGTTGGCGGGGGATCTCCCAGTCCCTCTCTAGCCACGCTCTCACCATGTTTTATAGTAATACCTTCCCTAGCTCACCTCCCTCGCACTCCCCCAGCGCAGCGAGGACCGTCCCGCACCGGCCGACCAGCCCGATCCTGCTGGGAGGCTGCTCTGCCGCGGCCCCAGCAGTGGGTCCTGCCGCCCGAGATACTGACTTTTCTCTAAGAAAAGCGTGTGGTTTTTTCATCACCCTTCCCTCTCCATCATGACAGGTTTTGATCATACAATCAGGGCTTGAACTTTTTATTATAGAAGTCTTCAATTTGGAACAAACCAGCCGCAGGGCTGCTCTATGCTGGTTTTGTAACAGAAAAGCAAAAGCAGCTGTTGCAGCTCCTGTGATTTGAGAAGAATCATCTATTAAAAACTGCAGCCTAGTTTTGTGAACTTTTTAGGGTTTTTTTTTAACAGGTATTCGTTTCAGTTCTGGACTGTCGATGGCTGCAGAGACTAGGTTTCCAGCCACTTCCCTCTTCCCCTCTGCCCAGCCTCAGCTCCCTGCCCCACAGAATAGCACTGACATTTGTATTTCACAAGTCTCCTTCACAGGCTTTGTTTTGTCCTGTTCATAGAGAACGTTTTTCTGCAGGTCCTACACGGTGAAACCTTTGGAACTGTACGTTTTTTAAAAATAAATGTCATTTGGGGGGGAGGGGGTTCTGCTAAGGGCTGTACTTGTAATAAATTGGAAACTTAAAAATAAACATTATGTACTTGTGTTTGTAAAACTGGCTTGCAGCGAGTCCTTTGCAGGCGCCCTGTGTTCGTGTGGGACTGTCTGGGATGTCTCGCCTCTGCCTTCCCCAGAGCCCCCATCAGACATGGTATCGCTGCCTTCCGGAGGGAAAATGGAGCCGCAGAGCAAGGGGTCGAGGGAACAGCGAGTCTGGGTCAGGTCAGCTTACAACTCTGGAGAACCGTCTTCTAGGCCTCCTGCTCAGGTTTGGTTATACCAGCCCCTGGGCTGTGCCTCGGTTCCCAGTATCGCAGACGGGTGGTGCCATGCCCTCTGCGGCAGGGCTGCCGTGGCACACCACCCTTCTTCCTAAGCTGTGCTGGGCACAAAATAATGTGCTGGCGTGGACATGCGTGCTCTGAGCTGGCTGTTTAATTGTCCTCCCCAGAGATGAGGGACGGGGCCGTGCTCTTCCTGCCCCTGGACAGGGGGAGGTCACCGGGACGTGGGAGCAGTCCTCGGGCTGGCCACCCCTTTCGGTCCCTTGTCTCCTGCGGGCTGCCAGTGTGACACTTGTCCTCCTGCCACAGCACGCAGGGTGGCACTGGGTAGCTCTCCTGAAGGGAATACAAGGGGGTGATGGGGGAGCTGAAATGTCTCTGCTCTTTCACCCCAGCGTTGCCTGGCTGGCTGGCCGTCAAAACTGCCTCCCTTGTTTTGTTAATGTGTGTTTAGCAACTGCAGCCTTGTGGGCTGGAGCTCAGAGATCAGCAAGGACTGTCCCCGCTGTGTCTCTGAGAGCACAACTCCCAACCCACCATCCTGGTCTCCAGCAGCCTAACGGGGACACGCTGGGCGCTCTGACACAGTGAGCTTCAACGGCAGCACGGGCTGGGGAGGTGATGAACCAGTGCTGATGTACGACCCGTCATCTGTGAAATAAACGTGTCGGCCAAAGTTTTGCCTGCATTTCTGCCAGTGCTGCACTGCCAGGAGCGTGATGGTTTCCTGGGTGACTTCATCGTCCTCCTTGCTCAGGAGCAGAGCTGGGAGCGCTCCAGCCAGGTCCAGCTCTGCTGGGCAGAGGAAATCCCCTGATGGGTTTGAGGGCTCGAAGGCTCTTGGCGATAGACAGATGCTGCTTTCCCCAGAGAAGCCTCATCCCCTCTCCACAAGAGGTGGTTTGGCTTGCCGGGCATGCAACAGGACCTGGGTGAATCAGAGTGTGACTCAAGCTGGGACATTTCCAGGCCTCAGCGTGGAGACCTCACACCAGCATCTGCTCCAAGACCTTTTCGGAGACTTGCTTTTTATAGCAGCCCCTGCATGGCATTAATGTCCTGTGCAGGGGCTATAAATAGCTGTCCCCACGCCTGGCAAGCGAGTGCACGGGCTGGCGGGCAGCCGTGGCCCTGCTGCCCACTGGCACCGCGGGCTGGGGGATGGTCACCAGCCCGGCTGCACCCGCCATCTCACCGGGGCTGGCCTGTGACAAAACCCAGTGGGGCCACCTGTGTTTTCTGGACTCGGGGAGGCCACGGGGGCGCAGCGGGTGAGGAGCCTTGAGCTTGGTCCCCCCTTGGCTTCCTCATGGCTTAATCGTTAATATTAGCCAATTAATAGTCTGGGTAACTTGGGATTTTTAGCACGTTCCCAGAGCACAGCGACTTCCCTTCTGCTACTCAAAACCTGGAGGGAGTGTCCTGCCTTGCGAGGGGGGATAACGTCCACAGCTCAGCGGGTGCTGGGGGGGCACTAGGCTCGACTTCACCATGCTTAGCTGGACCAGGACCTTGGGGTGTCCTGAGCCCGCTCTCACCCAGTGGCAGCCCTGGCTCAGCCTCTGCAGCCGTCCCTCCTGCTGGCACCGGGGACGGGCAACCATGGCAGCGGTGCCCAAGCTGGGGGGGGCTGCCCCGGCAGGGATGGGGCAGTGCTGAGCCCTGCTTGCCCCTTGCAGAGGGGCGTCTGCAGCTGCCCCAACTGTGCTGGAGCCAGGCCTTTGGCTACCTTTGGAGCTGCTCCAAGCAGGACGGAGAGAGGATGCAGGGATGATCTTGGGGTGGGGGGGTACGGAGGAAGGCTGAGCCTCCCCAGCACAGGGTTGAAAGCGGCTGTGAGAGGGGGCCAGCCGGTGTCCCCCGGCACAGAGCCCTAACAAGGGGCAGCTCCGCTTTGGGGCAGGCTCTGTGGAAAAGCTCTGTCTCCCCAGCAGGGCCAGCCATGCCCAGCGCCTCGGGG